GGCGGGAGAGCCGCCGTGCTTCCCAAGCGGCGCACTATCCAGTGCGCCACCGGGCCGGCCCTGAATCTCAAACTTTTCAGTCTCAGAAGTTCTTTGCAATCTTAAAAATTATTGAGGATCCTAAAAAGCTTTTGTTTATGTGTGGTTTATCTATATATATTAAGATATTAAAAATTTATAAAGAAAAAATTATAAATTCAGTTACAATTAACAATATTAAATCTTTAGATGTTAACATATTTTATTTAAAAATTTTTTCAAAATGAAAACATTAGAGAGAAGGCATTATTTTACATTTTTATAACTTTAATGTTTGTCTTAATAGCAAACTGGTGGATTCTAACGTCTGCTTTGGCATTCGATCTTGTGCTATGTTGTTTCGGTTGACATATATATTAAGAAAATCTGGCCTCACAGACATGTAGTTGGGAAAAGGAGTACTTGAATAGCTTTTTGAGATAATCATGGATATATTTTTCTTTGATACTAAAACCAAAACTCCACAAGTAGTAGTTTCTTAAAGGTTAGTTAGAATATAGACTTTGAAACCATCCTGTTACATTAAAATCCACTGGTCTATCTTCCATGTTTAATGGATTTTTTTACTCATGTATAATTTTATAACTTCATATACTGTCTACTATTTGGGGAAATATTGGTACCTTGACTTATGCAGATCTTCCATATGTTGACACACTGTATCAAAAAATGTAAAACAAAACAAAAAAACCAACAAACCATCACTAATACTACCAATAACCTTATCAGAACACTCTTTAAAGCTGTCATAGCACATAATGGTAAATAGAAGTTTTCCAAAATTCTGATTTTTACTTGAAAAGCTTGAATTTTATCATTGGGCAACATATACTGCCCGCTCTTTTCTGTGAAGCGATAGGCTCACTTCCTTCATTTCCAAACAAATATCTGCCAAATACCCAAGTCTGAATAACCATAGTTTGCTGGCAGAGTTATTTCGAGTAAAAATGGTGTTCCATTAAAAAAGCAGCTACTTGAGCTCACAATCAACTGTACACATGCTTTCTTCGAAACAACTGTATACTTCGGTATTCAGGAGTGCTTTATGCATAACTCTCACTTCATCACACATATTAAGAAGACATGTACTCAAAGGTTTACATGTAATAAAATTATTATCTATTGCTCCAAAGACATCCTTAAGTAAAAGTGGCATTTAATTTTAATAGGAATACGTGGCAGTAAAGAATACAATGACTACTAGTACAGTTCGGTCCAATGCCAGCAGGTTTTCCCCGCCATTGTTTTTGCACCATTATTACAGATATCAGCACAGTGAAAAAGACAAATAACATCTTAGAATTAGTATGAAAACAGTTCTTACCTCATGAACCCCCCTGAAAATGTGTCAGGGACCTCCTAAGAGTGTGTAAACCATATTTCAAGAACCCCTGGGTTAACAGAATAAATCATTATCCCTATTTTTTAAAAAATGGTTTTTTGGGTGGTAGGCCAGTACAGGGATCTGAACCCTTGACCTTGGTGGTATCAGCACCACACTGTAACCAAGTGAGCTAAATGGCTAACTTTATCCCTATTTTTATAAAAAAGAAAATGTATGTATAAAAAGGAAAATAGTTTATCTGAATAAGGTATTTTGAGTAAAAGTATAGAGTTTTTGTATGCAATTGAAGTTATTAATTAGCTTAAAACAGACTATTCCAAGGTGTTTGACATAAGCCCCATAGTAACCACAAAGAAAATACCTATAGAAGATACACAAAAGAAAACAAGAAAGGATTCAAAGCATGTCACTACAAAAAAAAAAAAAA